ACCAAACATCACTCTCATTCCATTATACCTTCTCATCAATACTCAACCTCTTTTGAGCTTGTCATTCTTTGCCTGCACTGTATACAAAACAACAATAGGAAAACGATCGTGCTGAGGTGAGAACGTGATTTTAGATTCGGATCTGAGATATACACGAATGCTGAACTGAAAGCAGTGTTTTGTAATGCCAACGTCAGCAAGCACTCGAGCAATCAGCATACACCAGATTGTAGCACGAAGGAACGTCTTATATAAGATTTTTCGACAAACGAACCTCGTGTCCATAAGGACACCTCTGTGAGAGCAACGACCGAAAGAAACCGTAAAATTCTCGATGTGAATCGATGTGTTTGATATAAAAAACGATGCACAAACGGTGATCAAGTGACCATTAATACTGTTTATCTCATTTTCAATGCAACGAATAATTACACTCAGTTCGATTCGAAGAGCGCAATTCGATATCTACAGATAACCTGCATTGTAGCGCATCTGAATACAGCAACGAATCATCGGCTAAATAACTCGACACATAAATCAACCTCAGCGCTTAATGAGAGTATCAGAGAAACTAGAATTAAACTCACATATAACAAACAAAATAATTTAACTCACATAAAGAAGTATCGAAAGTAGAATGATCGACTGGAAAATGTATGATAAAGTGGAACTAAAAAGAAACAACAATAAACAATATCGAACATCGTTGAACGACAAATCAAGAATGAAATTGAATTTAGGAACATCATTTCAAATAAACGTTAATCTGAAGGAAATCCTTTGAAGAAGGAGATTTCTCGCAAAAAAACATGCTTTAAGACATTATGTTAAATGACGTCTACATTATCTTATAAATACACCTCACGTTCTAAATGTTTGCAACAATAAAAGAACAAATTCAATGAAGCTCACATAATAACAATGGATTAAACTTGGCGTAATGAACTTTAATTTGATTAAGCATCAAAGAACAATCGATCTGAATATTATGAATTACCACGATGAACGCAACGAATAAAATAATGAGTAATTAACTCTAATTCGATTTATAACGCTGCAAAACAGAAGATCACAGTCGATTGGATAACAATTCAACAATTATGATATAAAACATATGTGAGAATATTACATGGAATAAATAATTTTCGAATAATCATTATCACTATTATTTCACAATATTACTGTTTCTGAAATCATTACTATGATTACTCTTCACCCCAGTTATAACCACCAGGTCGCTCGTCTTCAGGAACAGGTACTGGTGGAGGTGGATCGAATAGCCACTTTAGTATTTCTGGTGTTTTGAGAAATCGAAATCCATTTTGTAGTGGTGGAAATACGTCTTCTAAGAAATAGTAGAAATGACCGCATGCAATACCTGAATTCGACATAATATCATTACTAATGACTGGAATGATTGATAAGCAACCAAGTGCGTATGATCTAGTTGATTTCATCTGATAACGCATCACATGGACTCATATGAATCAACGATAACACTTCATCACATTCAAACAGTCACACAATTTTGACACTCAAATAATTGGTCCTTTGAAATAGGTCATTTTTCGAAATTCGGTTAGAGTTCGATACACATTTTCTATTCGAGATCGAGTTCAATCAACTCCTCACTTCATTCAGTAATGAAATCATATAAGCAAATGAATTGAATTCGTTGTATTTTGAAACAAGTGATAAATAGACAATTGTAATGAATGTTCATAACTGTCAGGTTGTGATCGAAAATATTGAATGTTATCAACGAAACAATAAAGCTAAACAATTTTCGAAACAAACCCATAAAATCAACGATCGCATTGTTGCCGAGAAGTAATGAAAACAACAGCAACACCCACGGTAAATAAGGTGCAGTGAAACTGAGAACTCCAAAGAAATTCATCGGAATGTACGGATTTCTTCTACTCCACACATAGACGAGCATCATCGTGAAAGCTTGTCCCAAGAAAACCATGTGAACAAACGTACCACAGATTATCTGAATTCAATGAGAAATTATTTGGCATCTCTTGAACACTTCCTTTCACAAAACTGATTTTGCGGTCGAGAACAAGAATTTAAAGATTCTGACCACAAGAACTACATTTTAAGAGTATTCCTTTTTCGAACGACTTTCTTTTTCGAAGTCAGAATTTGTATTCAACGAAGACAAATTTGGAAATGCGATTGACTCTGACAATAACTATGGAGCAACATGTATCACAATGGAGCAATAAATCTTGTCATACGCTATAAATCAGCAATTTATTGGAATCGAGTTGGCTTTATAATCTTATTCAGACAAACTATTTATAACTTCTAGAAGCGAAATCCTAATTGTTTGAAAATTTGAGAGACAGATTGCAAATGTCGTTTATGTTTACAAATTTGGTTTATGTTTTCACCGAAATGCTGATTGATTAATTCGCTGAGCGGAAATATTATTTATATGTGCATTTGAAATGAATTCTGAGGCACTGAATCAAACAAGATGAATCAAGAAAACGAGGCAAATCAAAAAAATACCATGAACACAGCTCCATAAAGGAACATAAATACAAAATCAGCTCTTCTTCCACGAAATGAACCCTCTTCCAACATCATACAATATCGATACGTGAAGATCATATTGAATAAAAAACTAAATCCAAACGAACCGAAGAAACAAAACGATGTGATTATACGCCAAAACTGCAATACACCAACTCTTATTAATATATCTGCCTCTGCTACTTTTGAACACAACCGTGTTAATTTTTGGACTTCATTCGAATAAAATCAGTCATGCTCAATTCCAAATGGAGTAAATGAATAGAATCATCACAAAATTTCAAAGAGTTTCTCGATTATCGACGAGGCCACTCAAAGTAGAAAAACTTTCATTCGAACAAACATTATTTGCATAGCAGGTAACTGAACCATATCAAACAAGTACCTGATATTCATGTAAGATCAGATTCCAATTGAAATAAAGATGAAATGGTGTGACGAATTCGAGTTGCTGAAATTAAAGAATAAAGCGATTCATTACATTAACAAATTCGCATAACGCAAATTCAAATTTACCACTGAATAACATTCAAGCAAAGAGACATGACGGCGGAAATGTTCACTCGAAATTTCTTTCGATAAAAATTCACGACGATTCGCAAATGAATGGATAAATACGAGAAATGATGAAACCGAATAAATCTAAAATACTATTTTGATATTTACGTTCACTATGAACTGCTTCAATAAATCAGTTTTACATTTATCTCGGAAGAACGTTTGTTCAAATGAAATACTTTGAATGCTGAAAACGAACCACAGCAATTGTAGTGATCACGCAAGCTGTCGTGTAAACCCTTGTAACGGGGGGCATTTCCTCGTAAGCTTGCACTAAAGCTTGCATCTTGATTATTATCGAACAATATTATAGTTCGATAACCAGAAGAATCCAACCTGAAATTCAAACTAATAAAACAATTTAAGAAGGTGACCAGATGAATGAGCGATGATAACGACATGCTGATTCAAATGAAACGCATGCTCACGTTGATGATAAGCATCACTAATTTAGGATACTTTCAGTTTATTGCAGATTCTTGTGCTTGATTACCCCGATTCCCACCTTGATATATATCAAGTTAAGTGAACTCGATTCCGTTTCACATGACGGCAAAGTATAACTAAACAGTTGCGAAAAACAGAAAACAGAGAACAGGGTGAATCGTTCAAATATATCATATTTTATAGAATGCGCCTTGAACGCAATGGACGAACGGAATCACGGAAGTCTTATATGACATCTTTATTTGCAGTTCAATTAATAACAACATCCATCTCAAACAAATGCATTTACACTAAATCAAGTGATATCAATAAAGCTAAT